TAATGCACATGTGTAGAGAAAATGGTGCATCGGCCAGTCTGGCCGGCATTTCGCACTCATAGTGCAGGTTGGGCCAGGTAGAACGGAAACGCTCGTTTCTCAAAAAGTAGAGGGAATCTAACGGTCTCACTCGATCAGAAGGTGGGAAATATATAAATCTAGTCAGCTAAAAAGGTTTGAAATGTATTCAACGCACATGTATAGAGAAAATGGTGCATTGGCCAGGTCGGTCAGTATCGGAACTTAAAATGCAAATGCCAGGGAGAACGGAAGCGCTCATATCTCGCATAGTACACGGAATCAAGTGGTCTCACTCAAATAGAAAGTAGGAAATATATTCATCTAGTGAACGTAAGGGTTTGAAAGGTAACTAGCGCACATGTGTAGAGAAAATTGTGCATCGGCCAGTCTGGCCGGCATTTCGCACTTATAGTGCAACTAGGGCCAAGGAGAACGGAAACGCTCATTTCTCAAAAAGAAGAGGGAATCTAGTGGTCTCACTCAATCAGAAGGTGGGAAATATATAAATCTAGTGAGCTAATAAGGTTCGAAAGGAATCTAATGCATATGTATATGGAAAATGGTGCATTGGCCAGGTCGGTCAGTATGGGAACTTAGAGTGGAAATGCCAGGGAGAACGGAAGCGCTCAGATCTCGCATAGTACACGGAATCTAGTGGTCTCACTCAAATAGAAGGTAGGAAATAAATTCATCTAGTGAACGTAAGGGTTTGAAAGGTAACTAACGCACATGTGTAGAGAAAATGGTGCATCCGCCAGTCTGGCCGGCATTTCGCACTTATGGTGCAAGTAGGGCCAAGGAGAACGGAAACGCTCATTTCTCAAAACGTAAAGGGAATCTAGCGGTCTCACTCGATCAGAAGGTTCGGAAGGAATCTAATGCATATGTATATGGAAAGTGGTGCATTGGCCAGGTAGGTCAGTATGGGAACTTAGAGTGCAAATGCTTGGGAGAACGGAACTGCTCAGCTCTCGCATAATACACAGAATCTAGTGGTCTCACTCAAATATAAGGTAGGAAATATATTCATCTAGTGAACGTAAGGGTTTGAAAGGTAACTAACGCACATGTGTAGAGAAAATGGTGCATCGGCCAATCTGGCCGGCATTTCGCACTCATAGTGCAGGTGGGGCCAGGGAGAACGGAAACGCTCGTTTCTCAAAAAGTAGAGGGAATCTAACCGTCTCACTCAATCAGAAGGTGGGAAATATATAAATCTAGTGAGCTAAAAAGGTTTGAAAGAATCTAATGCATATGTATATGGAAAATGGTGCATTGGCCAGGTCTATCAGTATGGGAACTTCGAGTGCAAATAACATGGACGTGGACATGGACGTGGACGTGGACATGGACGTGGACGTGGACATGGACGTGGACGTGGACGTAGACGTGGACGTGGACGTGGACATGGACGTGGACGTGGACGTGGACGTGGACGTGGTCGTGGACGTGGACGTGGACGTGGACGTGGACCTGGACGGGGACGTGTACGCGGACGTGGACGTGGACGTGGACGTGGACGCGGACGCGGACATGGACGTGGACATGGACGTAGACGTAGACGTGGATGTGGACGCGGACATGGACGTGGACGTGGTCGTGGACGCGGACGTGGACGTGGACGTGGACGCGGACGTGGACGTGGACGTGGACGTCGTGGACGTCGTGGACATGGACGTGGACGTGGACGTGGACGTGGACGTGGGCGTGACGTGGACGTGGACGTTAACGTGGACATAGACGTGGACGTGGACATGGACGTTAACGTGGACATGGACGTGGACGTGGACGTGGACATGGACGTGGACATGGACGTGGACGTGGAGGACTTGGACGTGGACATGGACGTGGACATAGACGTGGACGTGGACGTGGACGTGGACATGGACGTGGACATGGACGTGGACGTGGACGTGGACGTGGACGTGGACGTGGACGTGGTCGTGGACGTGGACGTGGACGTGGACGTGGACGTGGACGTGGACGTGGACATGGACATTGACGTGGACGTGGAGGTGGACGTGGAGGTGGACGTGGAGGTGGACGTGGACGTGGACGTGGACGTGGACGTGGACGTGGACGTGGTCGTGGACGTGGACGTGGACGTGGACGTTGACGTGGACGTGGACGTGACGTGGACGTGGACGTGGACGTGGACGTGGACGTGGACGTGGACGTGGACGTGGACGTGGACGTGGACGTGACGTGGACGTGGACGTGGACGTGGACGTGGACGTGTACGTGGACGTGGACGTGGACTGGACGTGGACGTAGACGTGGACCTGGACGTGGACAGGGACGTGGACGTGGACGTGGACGTGGACGTGGACGTGGACGTGTAGTGGACGTGGACGTGGACGTGGACATGGACGTGGAGGTGGACGTGGACGTGGACGTGGACATGGACGTGGACGTGGACGTGGACGTGGACGTGGACGTGGAGAACTTGGACGTGGACGTGGACGTGGACGTGGAGAACTTGGACGTGGAGATGGACGTGGACATGGACGTGGACGTGGACGTGGACGTGGACGTGGACGTGGACCTGGACGTGGACATGGACGTGGACATGGACGTGGACGTGGACGTGGACGTGGACGTGGACGTGGACGTGAACGCGGACGTGGACGTGGACATGGACGTGGACGTGGACGTGGACATGGACGTGGACGTGGACGTGGACGTGGACGTGGAGGACGTGGACGTGGACGTGGACGTGGAGAACTTGGACGTGGACGTGGACGTGGAGAACATGGACGTGGACATGGACGTGAACGTGGACGTGGACGTGGACGTGGAGGACTTGGACGTGGACATGGACGTGGACGTGGAGTGGACGTGGAGTGGACGTGGACGTGGACGTGGACGTGGACGTGGACGTGGACGTGGACGTAGACGTGGACGTGGACGTGGACGTGGTCGTGGACGTGGACGTGGACGTGGTCGTGGAGTGGACGTGGACGTGGACGTGGACGTTGACGTGGACGTGGACGTAGACATGGACGTAGACGTAGACGTGGACGTGGACGTGGACGTGGACGTGGACGTGGTCGTGGACGTGGACGTGGACGTGGACGTGGACGTGGACGTGGACGTGGACGTGGAGGTGGACGTGGAGGTGGACGTGGACGTGGACGTGGACGTGGACGTGGACGTGGACGTGGACGTGGTCGTGGACGTGGACGTGGACGTGGACGTGGACGTGGCGTGGACGTGGACGTGGACGTGGCCGTGGACGTGGACGTGGACGTGGACGTGGACGTGACGTGGACGTGGACGTGGACGTGGTCGTGGACGTGGACGTGGACGTGGACGTGGAGGTGGACGTGGACGTGGACGTGGAGGTGGACGTGGACATGGACGTGGACATGGACGTAGAGGTGGACGTGGACGTGGACGTGGACATGGACGTAGAGGTGGACGTGGACGTGGACGTGGAGAACGTGGACGTGGACGTGGACGTGGACGTGGACGTGGAGAACTTGGACGTGGACGTGGACGTGGACGTGGAGAACTTGGACGTGGACGTGGACGTGGACGTGGACGTGGACGTGGACGTGGACGTGGACGTGGACGTGGACGTGGACATGGACGTGGACGTGGACGTGGACGTGGACGTGGACGTGGACGTGGACATGGACGTGGACATGGACGTGCACATGGACGTGGACGTGGACGTGGACGTGGAGTGGACGTGGACGTGGACGTGGACGTGGACGTGGACGTGGACGTGGACGTGGACGTGGACGTGGAGGACGTGGACGTGGACGTGGACGTGGACGTGGAGGACGTGGACGTGGACGTGGACGTGGACGTGGACGTGGACGTAGACGTGGACGTGGACGTGGACGTGGACGTGGACGTGGACGTGGACGTGGACTTGGACGTGGACGTGGACGTGGACGTAGACGTGGACGTGGACGTGGACGTGGACGTGGACGTGGACGTGGACGTGGACGTGGACGTGGACTTGGACGTGGACGTGGACGTGGACGTGGACGTGGACGTGGACGTGGACGTGGACATGGACGTGGACGTGGACGTGGACGTGGACGTGGACATGGACGTGGAGTGGACGTGGAGGTGGACGTGGAGTGGACATGGAGTGGACGTGGACGTGGACATGGACGTGGACGTGGACGTGGACGTGGACGTGGACGTGGACGTTGACGTGGACGTGGACGTGGAGGACGTGGACGTGGACGTGGACGTGGAGAACTTGGAAGTGGACATGGACGTGAACGTGGACCTGGACGTGGACGTGGAGGACTTGGACGTGGACATGGACGTGGACGTGGACGTGGACATGGACGTGGACGTGGACGTGGACGTGGACGTGGACATGGACGTGGAGGTGGACGTGGACGTGGAAGTGGACATGGACCTGGACCTGGACGTGGACGTGGACGTGGACGTGGACATGGACGTGGACGTGGACGTGGACGTGGACGTGGACATGGACGTGGACGTGGACATGGTCGTGGACGTGGACGTGGACGTGGACGTGGACATGGACGTGGACGTGAACAAGACGTGGACGTGAACATGGACGTGGACATGGACGTGGACGTGGACATGGACGTGGACATGGACGTGGACATGGACGTGGACGTGGACGTGGACATGGACGTGGACGTGGACATGGACGTGGACATGGACGTGGACATGGACGTGGACATGGACATGGACGTGGACATGGACGTGGACATGGACGTGGACATGGACGTGGACGTGGACGTGGGCGTGGACGTGGACGTGGACGTGGACGTGGAGATGGACGTGGATGTGGACGTGGAGGACTTGGACGTGGAGATGGACGTTGACGTGGATGTCGCACCCTCTCCCAGTGGATCCGCCCTCCCGTCCTTCTCTTGCTCTGTGCCCTCTAATCCTTACTTCTCTCCCTGCTTCCCCGCTTCCTTGTGCACACCTCCTCCTCGTCTCTTATAGGTAATGATACTCTCTGGACCCCTGTCAAAAAGAAGCCCTCGACGCGAGTGGCTAGTTTCCTTCCCTAGGCACAAATGGCCGCACTAGTTTGGCTTCTCCGACGTGGATCTAGCAGTTGCTCAGCTTGACGACAGATCACAACTGAATCACAAGCTTTCCCACAATTACGAGAAGACAAACAAAAGTGAATTGGTGTCCTTGCTGTGCTAGTTTTGGCTTCCTGTCACCCCTCGTGAATCTGTGCCTTGGGGTCTGCCAACTACCTCTCGCACCGCCCAACCCTTGGGCTCCTTTCCATGCATGCGACTCGGGCAAGCCTCGTCACCCCTGTCCCCTTTCCGCTTCACCGGTGGCCCTTGCCAGGTCAGCCGTCGTCCCGTCCTCATTTCGAGAGGCCCCGCCTCGATTCTTCTATCCCTGCCACAATTCTAATATCACCACAAAACCCCCCCCCTTACCCGTACACTCTACAGCACAATTTATAACAACAATACAACAATACTACTTCCCTTACGATTTACCCAACCATACTCACCTTAGGAGCTGTCTCATGAACTTTTGTGCACTCATTCGCAAGAGTCATGCGACAGCTGTCGCACCCTCTCCCAGTGGATCCGCCCTCCCGTCCTTCTCTTGCTCTGTGCCCTCTAATCCTTACTTCTCTCCCTGCTTCCCCGCTTCCTTGTGCACACCTCCTCCTCGTCTCTTATAGGTAATGATACTCTCTGGACCCCTGTCATGCCCCCTCACGACCTGTTCTGCGCCCCTGCCCACAGGTCGTGATGCTGTCGCCTTAGCAGTATTGGAGATATGGTCCTTCACCCTCTTCCCCTGAGAGTCTTCCAAAAGAACCACCCCTGATTCCCGTAGCTCTCGCACTTTCCACTTCGTTTTGCTCAGCCCGCACTCCAGTGTGTCCTTCCGCCGCTCTCTCAGGTACACCTCATCCCCTACTTGCACCCCTCTGTCCTTTCTCACGACTTCCTTCCCCCCTTGTCTCCTCTGACTGTACCGGCGAGCATCTCTCATCTGTGCTACCTCCAGGTTCTCCAGTGCAGCCGGCATGATCGACCGGAGATACTTCGCCCTGGCCGCTGCAACAGCCGCCCAGGTGTTGGGGTCTTCGTCTCCTACCGCCTCTCTTAAGACCTTAGGAGCTCCCACGGGTAGCAGGGGCTCCTTTCCGAACAGCAGCTGGTAAGGAGAGTAGCTTTTCAACGCTTGCTGTTTGCTGAAACGGTACCCTGCTGCAACCCACGGTAATTTCACGTCCCAATCCCGCCTCTCTTCTTCCTCACAATACTTCCTCAGGCCTTTCTTCAACGTCTGAATCATTCTCTCTGTCAGCCCGTCCGCTTGTGGATGATACCGTGAGGTCCTTCTGTGCACTATACCTACTTCCTTCAGTAATGCCTCAAACTCTCCCGCGAACTCTGTCCCTTGATCAGTCAATACTTCTCCACACGCCCCAAACCTGCATAGCACCTGCTGCACGAAAGCCTCTGCCACCGATGCGGCTGTCTTACGCGACAGAGCCGCCACTTCAATCCATTTGCTAGTGTGCTCTATCATCACCAGGATAAACTGCTTTCCTCTCCTGGACAAGGGCAGCTCCCCCGCCAAGTCCAACGACCATCGGTAGCCGATGCTCCCAATAGGCAGCGACTGTAGTTCTGCCTTACTCCTTTCCAGCACCGCCCGATTCCTACTGCAGGGCTCGCATTCTGCTACCTCCCTTTTTACCTGCCCTCTCATTCCTGGCCACCAATACATGGTTCGCAGCAGCTGGGTGGTCCTCTCCACGGCGTAGTGCCCGAACTTCGTATGGATCTGCAGTATCAAATCTCTCCTCTCTCCAGGTCTGGGTACGATTCTCCATCCATCCTCCGTTACCAACTGCAGCTGGTCATCCTGCCACCTGTAGTGCACGCCCCTAGCTCTCACCCTTTCCGGCACTTCCAGCCCCTCTGGTCCCACTCCTTGCACCCAGTCTAGTACTGGTTTATCCTCCCAAATCTCTGCGCACCCCTTCTCAGCATCCCTTCTCCTCCTCCACCCCTCTTTCTCCGCGGCTACTGCCGAGTATACCAGTGCTGCCTCGGGGGTCACTCCTTCCTTACTCGGTACCGCTGGCCCCTGCCTCGACAGGCCGTCGACATGCTGGAGCGTCTTCCCTGGGCGGTGTCTGACTTCGAAATCGAATTCTTGCAACCGCATTGCCCATCTTGCATTCCTTCCCCTCAGCGTTTGATTAGTCATCAGCCACAAGAGGGGCTGGTGATCTGTGATGAGGGTGAACTTTCTCCCTTGGAGGTAGGGTCTAAACAACTCCACTGCCCACACAGCTGCCAGCCCCTCTCCTTCGTAGGAGCTGTAGTTGCTTTCTGCTGGGCTGCAGGAACGACTGGCGTATGCCACCACCCGCTCCACTCCCTCTTCCAATTGGCACAGCACCGCTCCCAACCCCCCGCTACTCCAGTCAGTGTATAGCAGGAAGGGTTCATCTTGTCTTGGCAGCCGCAGTACAGGGGCGGTTTTTACTGCCTCCTTCAGCACCCTCCAGGCAGCTTCTTGCTCCTCCTTCCACTCCCAGGCGACATCCTCCCTCAGCAGCAAATTCAGTGGTTTCGCCGTCCTGCTGAAGTTTGGGATGAATTTCCTGTAGTAGTTTAAGAACCCTAGCTGCGCTCTCAGCATGCTTCGGTCGGTCGGCTGCTGGAGGCGGTCCACTACTTCCACCTTGGCTTGCTGGACCGTCATTCCGCCCTCTCCCACTTGGAACCCGAGATACCCTACCGTTCGTACCCCAAAGGTGCACTTGCCGGGATGGCAGGTCAGCCCAGCCGCCTCTATGGCCTTCAGTGTTTTGGCCACATCCTCCACATGCTGCTCCCCATCAGGGCTGTAGATGATCACATCATCTATGTAGCAGAGGGCGCACGGCAATTCCTGAAGCACCTGATCCATGACCCTCTGGAACCGGGCTGACGCATTCTTCAAACCGAAGGGCATGTAATTCCATTCATAAAGTTTGTCGGGACCATGAAAGGCCGTCTTGTGCTTATCTGCTTCTCGGATAGGTATCTGATTGAAGCCTTGTCTCAGGTCCAGCGTGGTATATACCCGTCCTTTCGACAACTCATCAAAGAGCTCTTCAACCACCGGCATGGGATAGCGGTCGCTCTTGGTCACCCTATTCAATCCCCTGTAATCACCGCACATCCGCCTTGATATCGTCTCTCCTGTTAGGTCCTTGCGAGCTGCCACCACGGTTGCTGCCGCGTACTCGGAGGTGGATTCCCGGATCAATCCCGCTTCTAACAGCTCTTTGCACTTCTCCTCCGCAATGTCTCGGTCTCCAGGACTCATCCGTCTCCGCCTCTGGTACACTGGCTCTTGGCTCTGCAGCTCTATGTCCATCACTGCCCGATTACACTTGCCCAACTCCTTCACAGAAAATGCAAATGCCCCTCTGGCTGCCCCCAACACTCTCCTCATCTTTTCCTTCTGTCCCTCGTTAAGACCGTCCCCCATTTGCCACTCCCCGGCTCTGTCCTGTGCTCCCTCCACCGGTGCCTCCTCCCTTCCTTCTACTTCTCCTTCAGTGTTCTCTTTGCTTCTCTCCGCCCTTGCTCCCTTTGCCATCAATACCATCCCTTGACGGTTGAACTGGTCCTCTTCTCGCGCTCTCTCCTCCCTCTGATATACTGCCGATTGCCTCCATTGAGCCGCCACCTCCATCGCCATCTCCGGTTCCGTGTCCGTCATCTCTATGAAGTCCCTGTACCTCTGCAGCATGAGCAGCTGCGCTCTCAGCGTTTCATGCCTCTTTTCAGCGCGATACAGCAACCATCCCAAGGCATGCTGGTCAATAGCTCCTCCCAGCGCCTGCCGCCTCACTTCTTCTGACACCCCTTCCGCCGCCGTCGCGTTTCGCAGATAGCCCATGGCTCTCTCACGTTCCACTGCTAGTGGCTCCTCCCACTCCCCCGTCGCCAGCACCTGTACCATTCCCGGTCCCGGTTGATCCCCTTGCATGCTAAAGGCATAGCTCCCCGGTGTCGACACCAGAGTTGGCCAGGCCTGCCGTGGTGCCCCCACCTCGTTACACGGGTACTGCGTCCTTATGTCCGGGCTGACCACTGGGGCCACCCTCCTCCCCGGTTCCAGGATATCCTGCACCAGCAGGGGTAATGGCCGGCGCATGCGACCCAACTGGTCCCGCAGCACTGGTTCTGGGACCATGTTCTGCCAATACCGCCGGATCCGATGTGCCCGAGCACCCATCTGTGCTGCGTCCCATGCTACCCCATGGCCCAGCTCCCGTGTGACCGCCCGGTGCGCCTCCTTCACTAAGCTCCTTTCATCATCCGCCACGTCAAGATTCTCCACCACGTACGAGAACGGGCCTTGCCTTCGCTTTATTAGCTTCATCACCCGAATTAATTCTTGGAATAGAGCCGTCCTGGGGTCTTCTAGTCCTCTCCCTCTTCCTGCTCTGGACAGGCCTTGACACTCCCATCCCGCCACCAGCAGGTCCACTTGCCCCCAGCTTGCTACCACCTCCTCGGTCACCTCCGTCACATCGCTCATCCTTTCCGCCTCCAACCGGGCCTGCTCGATTACGTCTCTGGATAGCTTGTCTGGGAATCGCTCGTGCAGTATCATCGCGTGATGCATCGCCATCCTCCTGACCTCTGGGTTCTTCTCTACGTAGGTCCATCGCTCCACCACCATGCCCAGACGGACACAGGCGGCCAGCCCCGGGCCGACACCCCCGAACAATTCCACCAGCCGTACCGGCCGATTGAAAGTTTCAAAGTCATAGGCTGGTTCGGCCAGTCCTCTGGCCTCCCTCAGTTCCTCCACCCTCGCCCCAGCCGCTTCCTCCATTCTTCGTCGACTGGCTGCCCTTTCCAGGTACACTCCCGCATCTTCCCATCGCTGCTCGGGCACCCGCTGGTGATGCGGCTCTCGATACTCCACCCTTCCTCGCAGAAAGCGCGCCGGTAGGACTGCTCCCTCCTCTCCAGCACGGGTCGCTTCTGAATCCCAATACAGTGGCTGGTAGGTGACCCTCTCCGCCCACGTATCCACCACTGCCCCCACCTTGTAGAGGAGCTCCATACCGAGCAAGAGGTCATAGTCTTCCGAGTCGGATACCAGACAGTGTACTCGGATTCTGGTCTCTTCGGCCCTTCCTGGCGCCAACACCACTTCTTGGGGTCGGATGGTTCTCGGTAGCCATGTTCCATCCCCTCCTTCCGCCGTTTGAATCCTTACTCCTTCCGGCGTCACATTCTCGGCCCGATGCAGTCCCAGCCTTTTGGCCAGTCGCCTTCCCACCAGCACTTGGGACGCCCCGGTATCAATGATTGTTGTGCCCGGGTATTTCCCTTCCACTGCTACCGTCCCCTCCAGCGCTTCCACCACGCAAGGACGAGCCGCCATCCTCTCAAACGGGTGCCTCCTGGGCCCCATTCGGGCCACCGCCCGCTGCACTGCTTCTTCCGCTGCTCCTGCCGCCTCCTCTACGGCCTCGTCTACTGTTGCCCGCGGTCCCCTCCTTACTGTCGCCGTGCCCCTTCGGCCGTCTGCGGCACCACTACGCAGGCCCAGGTCTTCCCTCTCCCTCCCCGGGTTTGCCGCCATGAAGATGGGCTCCGGTCCTTCTTCGTCGGACTCTTCCGCGTACCTTGCGACGTGGACTGGCTTTTCCTCTTCTGCCATCGTGTCCTCTTCCTCTGCCCGAAGCCTCCTCAGCTCCTCTTCCAGCTCCTCGATCCTTCCTCTCCTTCCCCCTCGACCCTTCTGCTCGCGTTGCTTAGTGTAGCAATTGTCAGCCTGATGCCCCTTTCTCTGGCAATAGGAGCAGGTTTGCAGCTTGGGGCAGTCCCTCTTGAAGTGCCCCGGCTCCCGGCACTTGTAGCAGACCGGCTCTTCTCCAGGAGAGTGGGCCGCGCTGCGAGGCTTCCGCGTCCGACTCCTAGAGGCTCGATCCCTTTCCTGGTCTTCCTCTTCCGCCTCCTCCCCAGCCAGTAGGGCCCCTCCCCAGCCGACTCCCCTGCGCTCTCTCTCCCTGGGCGGCTTCTCGGTCTTCCTCCCCAGGTCATAGAGGCTCAGGGACTGCTCGTGTCGCCATGCGATTTCATACGCCTGTCGCAGCGTGGCGTTGGGACCCAGGTCGTATGTCCGATCCCTCACGGTCCGTGCTAGCTCTCCGGCCAGGCCGTCCAAAAATTTGGCTACTATAATACGCGGTTCGCTGCAGCCGATGTCCTCCGCCAGTTGATGCACTCGCCGATAATAGCCCAGGAGAGACTCTCGTGAACCTCGTCTCAACTGGTCGAACTCCCTCATCCTGGCCGGCGTTTGCGTGGGGAAGTGCGCCGCCAATTCTTGCAGGAAGCGCTCCGTCGGGTCCCGTAAGCGGATGGGCTTCCCTTCTTCGTCCCGTAGCAGTCGGCCCTCCTCGTCTCGCTCTTCCTCCTGCAGCAGCGGGTCCCTAATCTCCAGGTAAAACGCTTCCGCCTCCCCCGCCAGCGTGTTCCCCAAAGATCTGAAGAAGTGCCGTAAATCCAGGCCGTCCATCTCCCATCCGTATTTCTCGTTCCGCACGTGCATCGCGTAGGTCTTCACTCTCGGTCCCGACTCTTGATCTCCACTGAAGCGACTCGGAACCTCCACCTTAGGGAGGCTGGTGTATCGGTAGCGTGACCCCTCCTCCCACAGCGAGCGTCTTGAATTCCCGCTTCCGGATGGCGTCATCTGCCCTCCCCTTCCTCCTTCTGATCTGGCAACTGGCGCAGCGATGCCCCTCCCCGCCACCGTCGCCTGTTCTTCTGACGGCGACAGCTCTCCCTGGGTTCTCTCGGCGCGCATCGCAAATCGTCCCGATCCGCGGGGGGTCATACCACCTCCGCGTCGTTCTTCCCGCCGGCCCTTGTCCTCGGCGTCATTCCGGGCAGTTACTCGCTCGGGATCGGATCTCTCCCCCGGGCTTCCTTCCACTTCGTTCCCCGCCGGAACTCCTTCCTTCTCCGGTGGTTCTCCCATTCCGGACAGCTTGGCACCACTACGTAGAGACATGCCCGCCATGACTTTTGTTTGTAAAGAAGCCCTCGACGCGAGTGGCTAGTTTCCTTCCCTAGGCACAAATGGCCGCACTAGTTTGGCTTCTCCGACGTGGATCTAGCAGTTGCTCAGCTTGACGACAGATCACAACTGAATCACAAGCTTTCCCACAATTACGAGAAGACAAACAAAAGTGAATTGGTGTCCTTGCTGTGCTAGTTTTGGCTTCCTGTCACCCCTCGTGAATCTGTGCCTTGGGGTCTGCCAACTACCTCTCGCACCGCCCAACCCTTGGGCTCCTTTCCATGCATGCGACTCGGGCAAGCCTCGTCACCCCTGTCCCCTTTCCGCTTCACCGGTGGCCCTTGCCAGGTCAGCCGTCGTCCCGTCCTCATTTCGAGAGGCCCCGCCTCGATTCTTCTATCCCTGCCACAATTCTAATATCACCACAAAACCCCCCCCCCTTACCCGTACACTCTACAGCACAATTTATAACAACAATACAACAATACTACTTCCCTTACGATTTACCCAACCATACTCACCTTAGGAGCTGTCTCATGAACTTTTGTGCACTCATTCGCAAGAGTCATGCGACATGGACGTGGACGTGGACGTGGACGTGGACATGGACGTGGACGTGGACATGGACGTGGACGTGGACGTGGACATGGACGTGGACATGTACGTGGACGTCGACGTGGAATGTCAGAACATTATAGCTGATACATGTTTGTAGGCTGTAGAAGGGTAGCACATATGGGGTACAGATTCCTAGGGTTTGTTATTTGTACCAATTTCTGACTTAGTCATCCTCATTCCTCTTCTCATTGTTTCACATGGTATAGAGCTAGGTCCCTCCAGGACCGATTTTTTTTTGGGCCCACCGAAGCGCGCCCCGAGGCGCGGTTTTTTTTTTAGCGACCCCTCGAGTCGCCCTCTCCCCTGCGGCCTCCCCGCCCACTCTGTCGCGGCCCCGCCCTGACCCTTACGCGGCCCCGCCGCCTGCTCCTTACGCGGCCCCGCGTCGGCCCCCTTACGCGGCCCTTACGCGGCCCCGCGCCGGCTCCTAAGCGGCCCCGCGCCGGCTCCTACGCGGCCCCGTCCCCGGCTCCTACGCGGCCCTGTCCGCCGGCCCCTTACGCGGCCCAGCCGCCGGCCCCTTACGCGGCCCCGCGCCGGCCCCTTACGCGGCCCCTTACGCGGCCCCGCGCCGGCCCCTTACGCGGCCCAGCCGCCGGCCCCTTACGCGGCCCCGCGCCGGCCCCGCGCCGGCCCCTTACGCGGCCCCGCGCCGGCCTCCTACGCGGCCCCGCCGCCGGCTCCTACTCGGCCCCGCGCCGGCTCTCACGCGGCCCCGTCCCGGCTCCTTCACGGCCCTGTCCGCCGGCTCCTTACGCGGCCCAGCCGCCGGCCTCTGCTCGGCCCTGCGCCGACCCCTGCGCGGCCCTGCCGCCGGCTCCAACGCGGCCCTGCCCCGGCTCCTAAGCCGGCCCTACCGCCGACCCTGCCGCCGGCTCCTACGCGGCCCTACCGCCGGCCCCTTCGCGGCCCCGCCCCGGTCCTCTTACGCGACCCCGCCGCCTCACCTGCAGCTGTCGGGCGGCCGGGCAGCCGAGCCGCCCAGTCGCCTAGCCGCCCGGGAGCCGAGTCGCCCTGCACCCGAGCCGTCCGTCGCCGAGCCGCCCGGGAGCCGAGCCGCCCTGCACCCGAGCCGCCCTGCCGCCGAGCCGCCCGGGAGCTGAGCAGCTGTACACCCGAGCCGCCCGGTCGCCGCTCTGCTTTTCTGTCGAGCTGCACGGCCTGCCCTGCCTGGTGAGCACAGTCCCTCTGTCACTGCGCCCTCTTTCCCTACTGCTTGCACTGCTTCGCTGTCGTCATCATGGCCACCCCTAGTGTCCTAGCCTTTGACGCCGAGGGTCGCGCCATTGATTTTTAGGTCTGGCTAGATGACCTGCAGCTTTTCTTACAGTGCGACAGAGCTGACAGCCTTTCTCTCTTTGACCTCACCTCTGGCGCCTCTCCTGCTCCTGCTGCCGATGCTGATCCCACTGTCCGCTCTCAGTGGGCCACCCGCGATGCTGCTGCACGTCTTGCTGTGCGTCGCCACCTCCCTACCTCTGAGCGTGCGCATTTTAGTCAGTACAAGAGTGCTCAGACCTTGTACGACGCTGTAGTTGCGCGCTACTCCTCCCCTGCCACTGCTGCACTGAGCCGTCTCATGCTTCCCTACCTCTTTCCTGACCTCTCTGCCTTTCCCACTGTCGCTGACCTCATTACGCACCTCCGCACTAGTGACACTCGCTACCGCGCCGCCCTTCCTGCTGAGTTCTGCGCTTAGAACCCCCCCCCCATGTACATCACTCTCTACTACGTAGTCGCACGCCTCCCTGACTCCCTCCGCGTAGTCAGGGACCACTTTCTCGCAGTCTGTCCCACCACTCTCACCGTCGACCTCCTCGAGAAGGCCCTCCTCGCAGCGGAGAAGAGCATAGTCGCTGTCGGTGCCTCTCGTGGTGACCCTCGCACCCCCATCTTTGAGGGGTGCTCTCCTTCCCCCTTGCTGCCCTCTGTTGCCTCTGCTGCTGCGGCCGACCTGCTTGGTCTTGAGTCGGTCGGCGCGGCGTCTGCCCCTAGTAGGAGACGTCGCTCTGGCAAGGGCAAGGGGGGCAAGGGCGCGGGCGGAGCTGGAGGGGGCGGTGGCGGTGGCGGCGGAGGCGGCGGAGGGAGTGGGGGTGGCGGCGGGAGTAGTGGTAGTGGTGGTGGTGGTGGTGGCAGCAGCGGCGGAGACGGTGGTGGTGGTGGCACCGGTGGTGGTGGAGGCAGCAGCGGGAGTGGAGGCGGTGGAGGTGGAGGCGGTGGAGGTGGAGGCGGTGGAGGCGGCGGCGGAGGAGGCGGTGGTGGTGGAGGAGGTGGAGCTGGTCGTGGTGGTACCCAGCAGCGGAGCGGCGGTGGTGGTGGCCAGCGCTTGCAGCGGCAGCAGCAGCAGCGTTCGCGGGACATCCCTCCGCCTCAGCAGCTTCGTGAGTGGTACACTGCGCGTCAGAGGGGTGGGGGTACTGGTCCCTGCGCCTACGTTCTTCGTTCCGGCGACCGCGCGGGTGAGCAGTGTGGGGGTGCCCACTCCACCCAGCGCTGCTTTGGCCGCCTGACGGACACTTGGCGTCAGCAGTTCCCCGGGGCTAGTGAGATCCCTCGCTGGGATGAGCTCCTTAGGGCTGGTGTAGCGATCTTTGATCTTGATTTTGATGCTATCCTTTCTGCTATGTATGCTGTGACTTATAGTGAGGAGAATGAGGGTTACCGGTGTTTCCAGCCCGACCCGGGCATTGGTACTGCTGCCCTAGGTACTTGTGAGGCTGCTGCTCTAGGTGCCAGTGCGTCTGCGCTCTCAGGTACTAGTGAGACTGCGCTCTCAGGTGCTGGTGAGACTGCGCTCTCAGGTACTGCGTCGCCCTCGTCCTCCCTCACTTTCACACTTGACTCTGGGGCTTCTCGCTCCTTCTTTTGAGACCGCACTACCCTCACGCCACTTGGCCGACCGGTTGCGGTCTCCCTTGCTGACCCCTCTGGGGGTCCTGTCCTGTCTCACTTCTCCACTGTCCTCCCGTGTCCGGCTGCCCCTTCGGGCACCCTGTCTGGTCTGTACCTTCCCTCGTTCTCTACGAACTTGGTGAGTGGTGCGGACCTACAGGATGCGGGGGTTCACCAGTTCACTCCTGCGAGGCGGCGGGTGACCCACTGCACGGACGCAGACACAGGCCGACACCTGGCCACCTTTTCGCGTCGGCCGGGGTCGAGTCTCTACACCCTGACCACTTCGTCTCCTCCTGACCCTGTGTCTGGTCAGGTAGCTGCGTCAGGTCAGGTGTTTGCTGCTGCGTCCCGGTCAGGTCCTGAGTCTGCCCCCTGTTCCTGTCGCCTCCTGTCTCACGAGACTCTCCTGTGGCACCACCGTCTAGGCCACCCCTCCTTGGCTCGTCTTCGGAGCATGGCTTCCCGTGTCCTTGTCTCTGGTCTTCCCCGGTCTCTCCCTCCTCCCCCCCCCGGGCCAGGGCCTTCCTGTGTCCCCTGTGTCGAGGGTCGCCTCCGGGCTACTCCTCACTCTTCCCACTTCCCCCCGACAGAGGCTCCGCTGCAGACGCTTCACATGGATGTGTGGGGCCCGGCCCCCGTCCGTGGGCAGGGTTACGAGCGCTACTTCCTGTTGGTGGTTGACGACTACTCGCGTTACACCACAGTCCTCCCCTTGCGCAGCAAGGGTGCTGTCACTGAGGTGCTGATCGACTGGATCCGCGAGGCTCGTCTCCAGCTCAGGAAGAGCTTCGGCTCTGACTTTCCTGTTCTGCGTCTGCACTCGGACAGAGGCGGAGAGTTCTCCTCTCGCCTTCTGCGAGACTACTGTCGTGCACGGGGGATCCGCCAGACCTTCACACTTCCGGACTCACCACAGCAAAATGGGATTGCTGAGCGCCGCATTGGCATGGTCATGGATGTCGCTCGTACGTCCATGATGCATGCGGCTGCCCCCCATTTTCTGTGGCCGTTTGCGGTGAGGTACGCGGCGCATCAACTCAACCTTCACCCGCGGGTCTCTAGGCCTGCGATGTCCCCAGCCTTGCTGTGGACGGGGAAGGTTGGCGATGCGTCTGTGTTTCGTGTCTGGGGATCTCGGGCGTTTGTCCGCGACTTGTCTGCGGACAAGCTGTCCCCTCGTGCTGCTCCCTGTGTCTTCCTTGGCTTCCCCACTGACGCCCCAGGGTGGCAGTTCTACCACCCCTCCTCTCGTCGTGTTCTGTCCTCCCAGGACGTCACGTTCGACGAGTCGGTCCCCTTCTACCGTCTCTTCCCCTACCGCACCCCTTCCCTCCCCCCTCCCCCGGACTTCCTTGTGCCGGTTCCCTCCCCGGTAGACCCCCTTCCCCCTCAGGTTCCTGCTCCCTCAGGTGTGTCCCAGGTAGACGCCGTTGACCCGGTCGAGGTTACTGGTGACTCTGGTGCTGCTGCGGGTGCTGAGCCTGGGGGTGCTGACTCTGGGGGGTGCTGTCCGCGGGGGTGCTGAGCCTGGAGGAGCTGCTGCTGGGGGTCCTGAGCCTGGGGGTGCTAGTGCGGAGGGTGCGGAGCCTAGGAGTGCTGCGCCGGGGGGTGCTGTCACTGGAGGTGCTGGGTCTGGGGGTGCTGAGTCGGGAGCTGCTGAGCCTGGGGGTGCTGAGTTGGGAGCTGCTGCGCCTGGGGGTGCTGTGTCTGGAGCTGCTGAGCCTGGGGGTGCTGCGTCTGGAGCTACTGCGCCTGGGGTTTCTCCTGCTGCTCAGCCTCCCCGGGAGCCTCTCTCTCCACAGGAGCTGCGCGAGTGGTTCGCTCGTCGTTGGAGGCGTGCTGCTGAGTCTGGGGGTGCTGCTGGAGCTGGAGCTGGACCTTCTTCGACTGACGAGGGTGCTGGTGCTGCCGGTCCCGGAGCTGCTGGGCCTGCGGGTCCTCTTGGAGCTGGCGCTGCTGAGGGTGTTGGTGCTGAGACTGCTGCTGTTGGTCCTGCTGCTGGAGGAGTTGGTGGCCCTGGTGCTGTCGCTGAGGGTGCTGGAGCTGTCCCTGCTGCGCCTGGAGCTGCTGAGCGGCCTCGACCGTACTTCGTTCCGCTACTGCAGCAGGTTCTTGGTCTTTCTCCTCCGGTAGAGAGTCCACCGCCTGTCCAGTCGCAGTCCCTGCTGGAGCCTTCCTCTCCGCTACCTGCTCCCTCTCCTTACACTGGTCCTACTGGAGGTCTTGCTGAGCGTCGTGAGCCTGCGTCTCGTCCTGCGTCGCCTGTTCGTCCTGCTCGCGCTACTGGTCGCGGTTCGCGTCAGCGTCCTCCTCCTGTCCCTGGCACGCACCAGATGTCTTTGCGTCCGTCCACTGCTCCTCTACGTGCCCCTTTGCCTTCTCCTCCTGAGTCCTCTCTTCCTGCGCTTGCCGACCCAGAGTCGGACTCTCTTCGTGCTGCCAGTCCTACTGTCACGCGTCTGCTTGCTACTGTCGTCACTGACCCCTCTTTTGAGTCCACTGCTGCGTCTGCTCTAGTCGCTGAGCTCGTCGACTTTGCTGCTCGCTGTCGTCTCGACTACGCTGCTAGTCTTGTTGCTGAGTCTGCGTCTGTCTGTCCTCCGTCCGTCGGGGGTGAGTGTGCTCTTGGCACGGACGTCCTAGAGGACAGGCAGGAGGAGTTACAGTGTCTAGCGGCTGCTTCACCTCATCTCGCGTCTGTACTGCTTGCCCCTGAGGGAGACCCGGATGCACTAGACATCCCGACTCCGCGTTCTTACGCGGAGGCTGTAGAGGGTCCCTACTCCTCTCAGTGGCAGGCAGCTATGGATGCAGAGATGGCTTCCTGGAAGTCCACAGGCACCTACGTTGACGCAGTTCCCCCTCCTGGGGCGAACATCGTCAGTGGCATGTGGATCTTCAGGGTGAAGCGGCCGCCGGGCTCTCCGCCTCTCTTCAAGGCGCGTTACGTCGCTCGTGGCTTCAGTCAGCGGCAGGGAGTTGACTACTTTCAGACCTTCTCTCCCACCCCGAAGATGACTACTCTTCGGGTGCTGCTGCACGTTGCCGCTCAGCGCGACTACGAGCTTCACTCTCTCGACTTCAGCACTGCGTTCCTGCAGGGTAGCCTGCACGAGGAGATCTGGCTGCGCCGTCCGCCTGGCTTCACTGGGACTTTCCCTCCTGGCACCCAGTGGAGCCTCCGACGGCCAGTCTACGGTCTCCGCCAGGCACCGCGTGAGTGGCACGACACACTGAGGACTACGCTTGCGGCTCTTGGGTTTGCTCCTTCCACTGCTGACCCGTCGCTGTTTCTTCGCACCGACACTTCCTTGCCGCCGTTCTACATCCTCGTGTACGTCGACGACTTGGTCTTTGCCACAGCGGACACTGCTGGACTCGCCTACGTGAAGTCCGAGCTGCTGAAGAGACACACGTGCACAGACCTGGGTGAACTGCGTAGCTACCTTGGCTTGAAGATCACTCGGGACAGAGCACGCCGCACCATTACCCTGACTCAGTCACACATGGTGCAGCAGGTCCTTCAGCGCTTCGGCTTCACGTACTCCTCGCCTCAGGCCACTCCTCTGCCTACTCGCCACTCGCTCTCAGCTCTGCCTTCGGATGAGTCCGTAGAGTCGAGTGGCCCGTATGCAGAGCTTGTTGGCTGCCTCATGTACCTGATGACCTGCACACGACCTGACCTTGCATACCCTCTGAGCATCCTTGCGCGCTATGTTGCTCCTGGGAGACACCGACCTGAGCACATGGCTGCAGCGAAGAGGGTATTGCGCTACCTGTGCAGTACGTCGGGCATGGGGCTAGTGCTTGGAGGGCGGAGTCCAGTGGTCCTTACGGGCCACGCGGACGCTTCTTGGGCTGACGACCAGGCTACGCAGCGATCGTCACAGGGTTACACCTTCAGCCTTGGTTCCGGCTCTGTCTCGTGGCGGTCTACTCGCTCGTCTTCGGTTCTCGGCTCCAGTTGTGAGGCTGAGATCTACGCCGGGGCCATGGCTGCACAGGAGCTTCGCTGGCTCACCTACCTGCTGACTGACCTTGGAGAGCCGCCTCGTTCTCCTCCAGTGCTGTACGTAGACAACAAGGCCATGCTGGCCTTGTGTCGAGAGCAGCGTCTGGAGCACAGAACGAAGCACATTGCTCTCCGCTACTTCCTTGCTCGTGAGCTGCAGTAGCGTGGTCAGCTGCGACTTGCGTACGTGGCCTCTGAGGCCAACACTGCTGATGTGTTCACCAAGGCACTCGCGCCTTGTGACCATCAGCGCTTCTGTACCCAGCTGGGTCTTGTGCCTGTCTTGCCTCACTTGCTCTCTTCCTGACTTCACTTGTACTGTGATATATATATATACCTGCTCTTGCTTGTTTAGTAATATATATATGTCTGTACTCCTGCATGTGAACTAGCCTCTGGCCCTGCTCTTGTGCTCGGACTGTGTGGTGACTTTGTGATCCACCCTGAGCTTGCTTTGCTTTGCTTGACTGGTCTTGTGACCCCTTGTTCTCCCCCACTTTGCCTATGGGGGTGTGTCAGAACATTATAGCTGATACATGTTTGTAGGCTGTAGTGGGGTAGCACATATGGGGTACAGATTCCTAGGGTTTGTTATTTGTACCAATTTCTGACTTAGTCATCCTCATTCCTCTTCTCATTGTTTCACATGGAAGTGGACGTGGACGTGGAGAACTTGGACGTGGACATGGACGTGGACATGGACGTGGACGTGGATGTGGACGAAGACATGGTCGTGGATGTGGACGTGGACGTGGACGTGGACGTGGACGTGGACATGGACTTAGACGTGGACGTAGACGTGGACGTGGACGTGGTCGTGGACGTGGACGTGGTCGTGGACATGGACGTGGACGTGGACATGGACGTGGACGTGGACGTGGACGTAGACATGGACGTGGACCTGGACGTGGACGAGGACGTGGACGTGGACATGGACGTCGACGTGGACGTAGACAGGGACATGGACTTGGACATGGACGTGGACGTGGACGTGGACGTGGACATGGACATGGACATGGACGTGGACGTCAACGTGGACGTGGACATAGACGTGGACGTGGACGTGGACATGGACATGGACACAACCACGTCCATGTCCACATCCACGTCCATGTCCACGTCCACGTCCATGTCCACGTCCATGTCCATGTCCATGTCCACGTCCACGTCCACGTCCACGTCCATGTCATTTGCACTCTAAGTTCCCATACTGAGCGACCTGGCCAATGCACCATTTTCCATATACATATGTATTAGATTCCTTTTGAACCTTATTAGCTCACTAGATTTATATATTTCCCACCTTCTGATCGAGTGAGACCGCTAGATTCCCTCTACTTTTTGAGAAATGAGCGTTTCCGTTCTCCTTGGCCCTAGTTGCACTATAAGTGCGAAATGCCGGCCAGACTGGCCGATGCACAATTTTCTCTACACATGTGCGTTAGTTACCTTTCAAACCCTTATGTTCACTAGATGAATAGATTTCCTACTTTCTATTTGAGTGAGACCACTTGATTCCGTGTACTATGCGAGATCTGAGCGCTTCCGTTCTCCCTGGCATTTGCATTTTAAGTTCCGATACTGACCGACCTGGCCAATGCACCATTTTCTCTATACATGTGCATTGAATACATTTCAAACCTTTTTAGCTAACTAGATTTATATATTTCCCACCTTCTCATCAAGTGAGACCGTTAGATTCCCTCAACTTTTTGAGAAACGAACGTTTCCGTTCTCCCTGGCCCCACCTGCACTATGAGTGCGAAATGCCGGCTAGAGTGGCCAATGCACCATTTTCTCTACACATGTGCCTTAGTTACCTTTCAAACCCTTACGTTCACTAGATGAATATATTTCCTACCTTATATTTGAGTGAGACCACTAGATTCCGTGTATTATGCGAGATCTGAGCGGTTCCGTTCTCCCAGGCATTTGCACTCTAAGTTCCCATACTGACCGACCTGGCCAATGCACCACTTTCCATATACATATGCATTAGATTCCTTCCAAACCTTATTAGCTCACTAGATTTATATATTTCCCACCTTCTGATCGAGTGAGACCGCTAGATTCCCTTTACCTTTTTGAGAAATGAGCGTTTCCGTTCTCCTTGGCCCTACTTGCACTATAATTGCGAAATGCCGGCCAGACTGGCCGATGCACCATTTTCTCTACACATGTGCGTTAGTTACCTTTCACACCATTACGTTCACTAGATGAATTTATTTCCTACCTTCTATTTGAGTGAGACCACTAGATTCCGTGTACTATGCGAGATCTGAACGCTTCCGTTCTCCCTGGCATTTGCACTCTAAGTTCCCATACTGACCGACCTGGCCAATGCACCATTTTCCATATACATATGCATTAGATTCCTTTCGAACCTTATTAGCTCACTAGATTTATATATTTCCCACCTTCTGATCGAGTGATACCGCTAGATTCCGTCTACTTTTTGAGAAATGAGCGTTTCCGTTTTCCTTGGCCCTAGTTGCACTATAAGTGCGAAATGCCGGCCAGAATGGCCGATGCACCATTTTCTCTACACATGTGCGTTAGTTACCTTTCAAACCCTTACGTTCACTAGATGAATATATTTCCTACCTTATATTTGAGTGAGACCACTAGATTCCGTGCATTATGCGAGATCTGAGCGGTTCCGTTCTCCCAGGCATTTGCACTCTAAGTTCCCATACTGACCGACCTGGCCAATGCACCACTTTCCATATACATATGCATTAGATTCCTTTCGAACCTTATTAGCTCACTAGATTTATATATTTCCCACCTTCTGATCGAGTGAGACCGCTAGATTCCCTTTACTTTTTGAGAAATGAGCGTTTCCGTTCTCCTTGGCCCTACTTGCACTATAAGTGCGAAATGCCGGCCAGACTGGCCGATGCAGCATTTTCTCTACACATGTGGGTTAGTTACCTTTCAAACCTTTACGTTCACTAGATGAATTTATTTCCTACCTTCTATTTGAGTGAGACCACTAGATTCTGTGTACTATGCGAGATTTGAGCGCTTCCGTTCTCCCTGGCATTTGCACTCTAAGTTCCCATACTGACCGACCTGGCCAATGCACCATTTTCCATATACATATGCATTAGATTCCTTTCGAACCTTATTAGCTCACTAGATTTATATATTTCCCACCTTCTGATCGAGTGAGACCGCTAGATTCCCTTTACTTTTTGAGAAATGAGCATTTCCGTTCTCCTTGGCCCTACTTGCACTATAAGTGCGAAATGCCGGCCAGACTGGCCGACGCACCATTTTCTCTACACATGTGCGTTAGTTACCTTTCAAACCCTTACGTTCACTAGATGAATATATTTCCTACTTTCTATTTGAGTGAGACCACTTGATTCCGTGTACTATGCGAGATCTGAGCGCTTCCGTTCTCCCTGGCATTTGCATTTTAAGTTCCGATACTGACCGACCTGGCCAATGCACCATTTTCTCTATACATGTGCGTTGAATACATTTCAAACCTTTTTAGCTGACTAGATTTATATATTTCCCACCTTCTGATCAAGTGAGACCATTAGATTCCCTCTACTTTTTGAGAAACGAGCGTTTCCGTTCTCCCTGGCCCCACCTGCACTATGAGTGCGAAATGCCGGACAGACTGGTCGATGCACCATTTTCTCTACACATGTGCGTTAGTTACCTTTCAAACCCTTACGTTCACTATATGAATATATTTCCTACCTTATATTTGAGTGAGACCACTAGATTCCGTGTATTATGCGAGATCTGAGCGGTTCCGTTCTCCCAGGCATTTGCACTCTAAGTTCCCATACTGACCGACCTGGCCAATGCACCACTTTCCATATACATATGCATTAGATTCCTTTCGAACCTTATTAGCTCACTAGATTTATATATTTCCCACCTTCTGATCGAGTGAGACCGCTAGATTCCCTTTACTTTTTGAGAAATGAGCGTTTCCGTTCTCCTTGGCCCTACTTGCACTATAAGTGCGAAATGCCGGCCAGACTGGCCGATGCAGCATTTTCTCTACACATGTGGGTTAGTTACCTTTCAAACCTTTACGTTCACTAGATGAATTTATTTCCTACCTTCTATTTGAGTGAGACCACTAGATTCTGTGTACTATGCGAGATTTGAGCGCTTCCGTTCTCCCTGGCATTTGCACTCTAAGTTCCCATACTGACCGACCTGGCCAATGCACCATTTTCCATATACATATGCATTAGATTCCTTTCGAACCTTATTAGCTCACTAGATTTATATATTTCCCACCTTCTGATCGAGTGAGACCGCTAGATTCCCTTTACTTTTTGAGAAATGAGCATTTCCGTTCTCCTTGGCCCTACTTGCACTATAAGTGCGAAATGCCGGCCAGACTGGCCGACGCACCATTTTCTCTACACATGTGCGTTAGTTACCTTTCAAACCCTTACGTTCACTAGATGAATATATTTCCTACTTTCTATTTGAGTGAGACCACTTGATTCCGTGTACTATGCGAGATCTGAGCGCTTCCGTTCTCCCTGGCATTTGCATTTTAAGTTCCGATACTGACCGACCTGGCCAATGCACCATTTTCTCTATACATGTGCGTTGAATACATTTCAAACCTTTTTAGCTGACTAGATTTATATATTTCCCACCTTCTGATCAAGTGAGACCATTAGATTCCCTCTACTTTTTGAGAAACGAGCGTTTCCGTTCTCCCTGGCCCCACCTGCACTATGAGTGCGAAATGCCGGACAGACTGGTCGATGCACCATTTTCTCTACACATGTGCGTTAGTTACCTTTCAAACCCTTACGTTCACTAGATGAATATATTTCCTACCTTATATTTGAGTGAGACCACTAGATTCCGTGTATTATGCGAGATCTGAGCGGTTCCGTTCTCCCAGGCATTCGCACTTTAAGTTCCCATACTGACCGACCTGGCCAATGCACCATTTTCCATATACATATGCATTAGATTCCTTTCGAACCTTATAAGCTCACTAGATTTATATATTTCCCACCTTCTGATCGAGTGAGAGTGCTAGATTCCCTTTACTTTTTGAGAAATGAGCGTTTCCGTTCTCCTTGGCCCTACTTGCACTATAAGTGCGAAATGCCGGCCAGACTGGCTGATGCTCCATTTTCTCTACACATGTGCGTTAGTTACCTT